ATTAAAGAATCAGAGAGGGGAGTCTTCTCCTGGAGCCCTCCAGATGGCAATGTAGAACTCTCAGCTCCCTCTGCGCCACGCCTGCCTGGAGGCTGCCATGCTTCCCACCATGATGATAATGGACTCAACCTCAGAACCTCTTGTAAGGGTTCATGATTGGCCAAAGAATGATACCCCAGACTCAGATAGTATGTAAACACAGAGTGTGTTATTCTGCAGAAGTCCAGTATGCTGGGGACCTCTCCATTACTGAGACAGACAACCAAAAGAGCTCGCAGGCCTGATTTAAAGAGCATTAGGGAATCCCTGGGGTAGGTGACCTCTATGTTAATTTGTTGGGTTCATCTCCAAGAACACTCCATTACCAAGGTGTGGTGGCTGGAAACTTGCTGGGGAGGTCTGGACACTCTTGTCCTTGCCTCAGGCCAGGTGGCTGGGCAGCTTCTGAGGCCTGAACTTGCCTGGACTCACCCAGTTCTTAGAAACAGAGGTTTAGGCCTAGTCTCCTTAACTGCCAGTCTGAAGCCTGTCATGGAGTCAGCCTCGCCTTCTCACTGTAAGCCAGTCCCAATTAAATGTTGTCCTTTATAAGGAAAAAAGATCAAAGAAGGGTACCTTTTCTTTTTATAAACCAAATGTCTGGCTAGCCCTCCAGATATTCAACGCTACAATCTAACTTTTCCCTTCCTTTGGACAAAGGTAGTCATAACGGTTTTCAAGGTTAAATTCAGTCTTTCTGTTCCCCAGTCCTGGGCTTCATAGACTTCAGGGCAGGCAGAGAACTCTACTTTCTGCATCAAAGTGCTGACAACATGAAGTCAGCCCACGGCATGCCTTAGCCCAGCCCTCAAATCCTTCTATTCTGTTAAGCACCTATCTGCCTTTTGAATAGGGAATCCGTGGCCCTTTCCTTGAGCTAAGCCCTCACCTCTCTTAGCCTGAGTTTCCTCACTCACAGAATGGGAATAAAGCACAATGCTGTGCCTCACTGTGCCTTCAAAGTGTGGCCTAGAGGCTATGTCACCTCCCATGGTGGCACAAGCCTCGGGGAAGCTGAGCTGCCGCCTACTTTTTTTTTTTTTTTTTTAAGATTTATTTATTGCTGGGCGGTGGTGGCGCATGCCTTTAATCCCAGCACTTGGGAGGCAGAGGCAGGCGGATTTCTGAGTTCGAGGCCAGCCTGGTCTACAGAGTGAGTTCCAGGATAGCCAAGGCTACACAGAGAAACCCTGTCTCGAAAAACCAAAAAAAAAAAAAAAAAAAAGATTTATTTATTTATGAGAGTATACTGTAGCTGTCTTCAGACACACCAGAAGAAGGCATTGGATCCCCGCTACAGATGGTTGTGAGCCACCACATGGTTGCTGGGAATTGAACTCAGGACCTCTGGGAGAGCTGGGACCTTTAATCCCAGCACTTGGGAGGCAGAGGCAGGCAAATTGCTGTGAATTTGAAGCTAGCCTGATGTACAGAAGAATGAGTTCCAAGAGAGCCAGGGCTACACAGAGAAACCCTGTCTTGAAAAGCAGAACAAAACAATTTAAATTATATATCTACAATGAATCTGATTGGTCTGAGAGCAGTGTGTAATGGGTTTTTGTTGAGTGAATTAATGAAATTGTTAAAAACCATCACGGTCTTAATTTGCCACACACTGATTAGCAATAGTGGAAACCCACACTAACAAAAGCCTTTGGAGATACTCTCTATTTTTTTTTTTTTTTTTTTTTTTGGTTTTTTTGAGAAAGGGGTTTTTGGTATACCCCGGGGGGCTCGGGGGTCACTCTGTAGACCAGGCTGGTCTCGAACTCAGAAATCTGCCTCCCTGCCCCCCCAAAGTCCGGGATTACCGGCATTTGCCCCCCCCGCCCGGCATTTTTTTTTTTTTTTTTTTAAAGAGACAAGGTTTCCTGTGTCTCAGGCTGGCCTCAAACTCACTGTGCAGCTAAGCATGACCTTGAGTTCCCGATCCTCCTGCCTCTGCCTCCCAAGGGCTGAGATTACAAGTGTGTGCCACCAAACTCATTTTATGTGGTGCTAGAGACTGAAGCCATGCTAGACAAGCACCAACACACTGAGTCACATCCCTGGCTCTACCCACCTCCCCCCTAACCCTTTTTCTTTTTTCTTTACTTTGTGTCTTAGTTAGCAGTAGCGGTGAACAGACACCCTGACCAAGGCAACTCTTATAAGGACAACATTTAATTGGGGCTGGCTTACAAGTTCAGAGGTTCAGTCCATTATCATCAAGGTGGGAGCATGGCAGCATCCAGGCAGACATGGTGCAGAAGCTGAGAGTTCTACATCTTCATCTGAAGGCAGCTAGTGGAAGACTGGATTCCAGGCAGCTAGGAGGAGGATCTAAAAGCCCACACCTGCTCCAACAAGGTCACACTTCCAAATAGTGGCATTCCCTGAGCCAAGCATATACAAACCATCACAATTTGGTTTTAGTGTGTTTCTCTGTGTGTGTGTGTGTGTGTATGTGTGTGTTAATGTAAGTGTGTCTGAATGTGTATGTGTTTGTGTATGTCTGTGTGTGATGTGTGTGTGTTGTTTGTGTCTGTGAGTTATGTGTATGTTTGAGCTCAGGGCCCAAAGGAGGATGCTGATGTCCTGTTCTACTATTCTCTCCCTTGCCGCCTTGTGTACTAGTTTGCTTTTTACTGCTGTGATAAAGGCCATGACGGAAGGTAACTTGAAGAGGGAAGCATATAGTCTGTCATGAATGGAAGTCAGGGCAGGGTGAAGGAGATGCCCGCACAGTGCTGCTTGCTTACTAACTTGCCCTCTTATATATACCATCTAGGACAACAGGCACAGGGATGGTAGCCCCTCATAGAAATCATTAATCAAGAAAATGCCCACGGACTGGTGAGATGGCTCAGCGGTCAAGAACACTGGCTGCTCTTCCAAAGATCCTGAGATCCTGAGTTCAATTCCCAGCAACCACGTCTTGGCTCATGACCATCTATCTATAAAGAGATCTGATGCCCTTTTCTGGCAGGTAGATGGGCATGCAGACAGAACATTCCTAAATTAAAAAAATAGATAAGAGCCGGGCAGTGGTGGCACACGCCTTTAATCCCAGCACTTGGGAGGCAGAGGCAGGTGGATTTCTGAGTTCGAGGCCAGCCTGGTCTACAGAGTGAGTTCCAGGACAGCCAGGACTATACAGAGAAACTCTGTCTCGAAAAAAATCAAATAATAATAATAATAAAAATAAAAATAGATAAGTAAATAAAATTTTATAAAAGAAAAAGAAAATACCTACATCTCAATCTGATGAGGACACTGTCTCTCAGTTGAGGTTCCCTTTCTCAGATGACTCAAGCTTGTGTCAAGTTTAAAAAAAGAAAAGAAGCCGGGCAGTGGTGGCGCACGCCTTTAATCCCAGCACTTGGGAGGCAGAGGCAGGCAGATTTCTGAGTTTGAGGGCAGCCTGGTCTACAGAGTGAGTTCCAGGACAGCCAGGGCTACACAGAGGAACCCTGTCTCGAAAAACCAAAAAAAAAAAAAAAAAAAAAAATGGAAAAGAAAAGAAAAATCTAACCAGGACATGTTGAGACAGGGTCTCACTGAACTTTGAGCTGGGATGGAAGTCAGTCAGCCTCAGTTATAACCCAGCCTCTGCTCTCCACAGCATGGAGATACTTCACATATGGCCTTTTATTTTTTTAGGGGGGAGGGTGTTTGGCTTTTCAAGGGCTATTCTGGCACTCACCCTGTAGACCAGGCTGGCCTCGAACTCAGAGATCCACCTGCCTCTGTCTCCCAAGTGCTGGAATGTTTGGACTTAAAACGTTTTTGTTTTAAAATGTGTGTGATGGGGATTGAACTCAAGTCCTGATGCTTGCCCGGTAAGCCATCTTACAGGTGGACCCGTCTCCTCATCTTGTACTTTTCATTACTTTTCCAGACAGTCTCTTGTATCCCTGGGTGGCCTCAAACTAGCTGTGCAGCATAGGTGGGCCAAAAACTCCTAATTATCCTGCTATTTTCTTGTAGTGCTTTGTCTGCTTGTATGTATATGCATCGTGCATGTGTGAGCCTGGTGTTGCAGACATCAGAAGATAAGGTAGGTCAAATTCCCGAAACTGTAGTTATGGATGATGGTTCTGAGCTACCACACGTTTGCTAGAAACTGAACTCTGGTCCTCTTGGTGTTCTGCAAGAGCAACAAGCGCTATTCCTCAGAGTCCTCGATTTTTAACCCTTAGTTCATCGTGCATGCATTGCTTTTATTTAATAACGAACACTTACAACTAAAATTTTATTCCTTGAAATGATTTTTATTACATTTATTTATTTATTTATGGGCGGGCGGATGGCTGCTCATGGGCTGAGTCCTGCGTAGAGAAGTCAGAGGATACCTTGCGGGAGTCGGTCTCCCCTTTCACCTAGTGGCTTCTGGGGGTGGAACTCAGGTCTGCAGGCTTGGTGGCAAATGCCTTTCTTTACCCGCTGAGCCATCCTGCAGGCTCCCTAGAGTTATACTTTTAATGGTTAGATATAGATGGGAAACTGAAGTAAGCACCAGGAAAGTACTGTTAGTTGACACACACACACCACTAACAAGTTTTCCCCGCCTGCCTCAATCATCTACACTCAGCTTCGCTTCGCCTCTATTCTGTTCTTCTGAGCTTAGTCCCGCCCCTCCAAGTCCCGCCCACCACACCGTAAGACTCCACCCTTCACCACTTCCTTTTTCTCGGATTTCCGGGTTCACCCTCTGCCCCTAGCCTTAGTCGGCCTCAGCCCCGCCCTCAGTTACCCGCCCACTCTCCCCAGACACGCCCTCTAACGTCACGTCCGGCCTCCATATTTCCCTCCCTCTACTACTCCTTGCTCCCGCCTTCGCCTGCTTCCGGTAGTCATCGTTGCCGCTGCTGCCGCTGCTCCTGCTGCTGCTGCTGCTGAGGCTGCAGGCGGAGGCCGGAGGACCGGGCGGCGGCGGCGGCGGCGGCGGCGGCGGGAGCAGGAGGGCAGCGGGACGACCCAGCGAGAGCGGGCGAGCTGAGAGCCGAGCGCGAGGAGCCAGAGCCGCCCGGGCCCCGCCGCCGCCGCTGCCGCCGCTGCACAAAGCCACGAGCCCGCGCCGGAGCCATGTCTGCGTCTGCCGGCGGTGGCCACCAGCCTAGCCAGAGCCGCGCCATCCCCACACGCACCGTGGCTATCAGCGACGCAGCGCAGCTACCTCAGGACTACTGCACCACGCCCGGGGGGACGCTGTTCTCCACAACACCGGGAGGTGAGCCGCGCCCGGCCTGCCCGCCATCGCGGCTGGCGCGTGGCACTGCATGCTCGACCAACAGCTTCCTCTCCGCCGCGGACTGTGTGCTGCAGACCGTGCACTCTGCGCGGCGGGGCTAGCCTATGGAGCTGTCCTATGGGGTTGGGAGAGGGAAGTCGGGGAAACGGATCTGGCGCGGAAGCGTAAGATGATTTGTCTGGCTGCGCTTAGAGTCCCGAGTCGAGGTTGGCATGCGCTCTGCATGCCTCGCCCAGTGTTAGCCTCCTTTGACAGCATTGTTTACTTTGTTGGAGGAGTCATCACAGGTTGGGGGGAGCCCCAGCTCCCACAAGTGGGGCGTGTAAAATAGCTCCTTTGGTGTCCAAGAAGTTGATGGCTTTAGTAGAGGCGCTGTCAGATTTCAGACCAGGGCTTTCGAGGAGCGGCTTTGAAGGTGCTTTGTCAACCAGCACACACTAGACGGGTTAGGTTGCTTGATCCTAGGAAAAGGACTTGGAGAGAGAGAGAGGCGGTGCAAAGGGAGGTTCCAGAAGTTGCTTTTAAAAAGATGGCCGGGAACTGTTTACTATCACTGGAGAAGAGGTAAAGCATGTTGAATTGGTCACGAGAGGAGGAAGCGCAAAGGTTGTTTGTCTCCTTTCTGGGCTGTTCTCTAAGAGGGAGGAGCCTGGAAAGGGTTCTTTGGTGCCCTAATGAAGGGAACCGGCTTTCCGTCTCTAATCTCAGACCTTTGCCTTCTTTTGGTGACCCGGGGGCTGACCTTTGGCTAGAGGGTGAAGATTTGGTGTAGCAGCCCCTGCAGTCTATAGACAGGGGATCGATCATGAAGCGGGACCCCTAACCAATCACTTGTAACTGGGCCTGGCCATCCTGGAATCTTGTGCAACTAGAAGGCACAAGAGTAAGGGGACCTTGCCAACATTAAGAGACAGCAATCCAGAAGGCTGTGTGTGGTAGTTAGGGCCGTGATCCTAGTATTCCAGAAAGAAGGGCCAGGAGAATGGCAGTTTAAGGCCAGCCCTGGCTACATAATGAGTTCTAGGACAGCCTGTGCTACAGTGTCACACCCTGTCTCAAAAAAACAAACAAAAAAAGCCAACCAAACGAGGAAGGGGGGCAAAGAAATCAAAGCAAACAACTAGGAGAAAAATTGGCTGAGGATCCAGCCAGGCCGGTCTAGAGAAAGGATGGCAGAAAAGCATAAATTCCCTTCCAAATGGCCCAGCAAGAGGAAGCTGCACTCCTTAGGGAGAGCGGTGTTTAAGAATGGGGAAGACAGCAGAGAACTGGTGAGGGGCAGTGGTTTTAAGTTGCTGAAGACAGCTTTCTTTTTGTTGTTGTTGTTTTGTTTTGTTTTTGTTTTTTCGAGACACAGTTTCTCTGTGTAGCCTGGGCTGTCCTGGAACTCACTCTGTAGACCAGGCTGGCCTCGAACTCAGAAATCCACCTGCCTCTGCCTCCCAAGTGCTGGGATTAAAGGCGTGCGCCACCACCTCCTGGTCATGAAGACAGCTTTCTTATCTGGTCTTTTCCAGCAGGTTTTAATCTTTCTTTCCTCTTCCTTTTGTTGAAACAGCGTTCCTCCATATAGTCCACACTACCTCACACCTCTTTATGTGATTCCCCAAACCCAGGATCTTGCATTATTAGCCTTCTAAGTGCTGGGATTTATTGGTGTGTGTTATCTGGTGTCACAAAAATCAGGAAAGATCTTGGTCAGCCCCGGATGGAATTGTCTCCACTCGAACAGATAAAGATACAGAAACTAGTGGCCAGCACTGGCCAGGCAGAGACAGGTTATCTCTGGGAGTTCAAGGCTAGCCCATTGTACACTGTGAGTTCTAGGACAGCCAAGGCTACATAGTAAGAGCATATCTCAAAAAAAAAGTTATTTCTAAGGTATCAGAGAAAGATCTGTAATTTACTGCACAGTTCTTTGTGGTATTGGTCAGTAAAAAGCCCATGCTTTCAGCAACTCAGTGCACACGTGACAGTAACAGGTGCGTTTAGCTCTAATTTACTTGGGGAGGAACCAAACTTTTTAGCTGTACATTAATCTTGTTCTCCCGAGAGAAGCTCTAGACAGGGAAAACTCTGTGGTCATATTTCAAACACCAGGCTGCTGTGCTTTCAAAAGTAGGAAAGGCACGTAGTCTGTAAGCCTTGCTTTAAAGATAGAAGCTGTCTTGCCACTTGAATTAGTTCTGAGATGCTTGGGAAGGTCTGCTGGAAATATTCATTCATCCACCCTTCTACTGCAGAGTCATTGCATGCCTGAGCACTGCTCAGCCTGCCTGACAGAGTGTCTACACATAGTTGTTTGTTTTGGAGGTAGGGTCTCCCTGTCCCTGGAGCTCACTGAGATGCCCCTGCCTCTGCCTCCTGAGCAGTGGCATTAAAGACTACCAATGCCTGGCACTCTTTGGATTTTGATGCAGTAGAGCTTGCTTCCTGGTTGTAAGGAGATGGCACTGTAGGGCTTGGAGCTGAGCTGTGGGGTTTTGTTTGTTTGTTTGTTTGTTTGCTTGTTTTTGAGACAGAGTCTTATTGTGCAGCCCTGACCAGCTTCAAACTCAGCCATCCCCCTGCCTCTGCCTCTCTAGTGTTGGGTTTAAAAACATGGCACACCAAGGAGTCGCATAGCATTTAGTTTGGTGGTGTTTAGAGATGTACTGTGCTTACTGACTTTTTCCCCTTTGGAATGATTCTACGGTGGCCTTTACTGGGGCTAGAGAGAGGGCTCGGCAGTTAAGAGCACGCCTGCTAATACTGTGGAAGATCTGAGTTCAGTTCCCAGCATCCACGCTGGGCAGCCTCTAACTTCAGCTCCAGGAGATCTGAACTTCTCACCTCGCTTTCACCAGCATCTGCACATATGGCATATGTCACACAGATGTATGCTCACTTAAAAAAACAAAACTGGGGCTGGAGAGATGGCTCAGTGGTTAAGAGCACTGACTGCTCTCCCAGAGGTCCTGAGTTCAATCCCCAGCAACCATATGGTGGCTCACAACCACCTGTAATGGGGTCTGGTGCCCTCTTCTAGTGTGTGTCTGAAGACAGCTACAGTGTACTCATATAAATAAAAGTTAAAATAAAAAAAAAATTTACTGGCATTGAGGGGTTGTGTATGTGTGAGCATACTCACATACACTTATGGCTTGCCAATGGAGATCACAGGGCAACCTCTGATTTCCTTCCGCTGGGGTTTCTGGGATCAAACTCAGGTCATCAGACTTGTGTGGTTAAGCACTTTTACCTCTGAGCTATCCTGATGCTTCCTGCTTGGGAAACTTCCTGCCCTCTGATGCTATATCTCCCTTCCTCCCACCTCGTCATTTTATCTCAGTGGTTGATAAGGTCTTCAGTGAGTTTTGTGGTCAGTGCTTCACAGGAAACAAGACACTGGACCTAGGCAGGTGGTACAGGCCTGTAGACGAAGAGAAAGGATCAAGAATTCAAAGCTAACTTGTACTAGATACAGTTAGGCTAACCTGGGCTACATGACACTCTGTCTTCAGAAAGTAAGGTATTAAGTGTAGGCCTTGCTCTGCATGGGCCCCAGATCTTGGTTTGGAAGGGTTGGAGGCTGCGGGAAGGATGGAATTGGAACAGCATAGCCAAGTGACTGACTTGAGTTTCAGACCTGAAAACATCGGGCTTAGATCAGCAGTCTCTTTAATGAGAAGGGAATGGAGTGCATTTCCTGCTTGAGTGTCTGAAATCTGAAGTGACACCCCCTCAGGGACCATTCCTGGATCGAATTTGATTTGCTGAGTGCCTTGTAAGATTGGCTTTGGTGAGGCAAGACCCCCTTATTCGGTGGAAAGCCATAGTAGCCACGTCCGCCTGGAGGGTTTCTTAAAACTCCCCTTCATGTTTTGAAAACGAGAGCTAAGCTAAAAGCACCTTTGCTGTGGCATTTTGAGCTGTGTTTGCTGGTGTAAGGGGATTCTGTTTGTTACTGAGGGACAGGGAAGCTTGCTTCATTTTCTGCTGTCTACCTGTGGAGCAGTGGGTGGTGGGTGGTTCATCCAGTAGAAGCTGCTGCTGCTGCCACCTTCACGGAAGGTGAGTTTGTTCCCTTAGTCGGGTTTTCCTATACACCAGTCAGGGTAGCTGGAGAGCCCTAATGAGTTCACGTTATAACTAAACAACCCTGAGACCAAAGAAACTAACCTGTTAGTATTGCCAGCCCTTTAATGTCAGTGGATAGCCTCAGAGTCAGTAGTCCTTAGGACTGCCTAGTTTCTTCCTCCACCATCTTAGATGCTTACCTTCCTGGGAAAGGAAGTTGGCAGACCCTTTAAGACATGTCTACCTCTGGAATGCTGGCTGACGCCATCTTCCTCTGGGGAATAGGCAGAGCTATAGTGACCCATTTTAGCCTTCCTCTCTGCTCCGATCCCTAATCACATTCCAGCTATGGAAAGAACACTGCATGTAGGGACAGAGAGCCACCAATCACTGTGGCCTGAAATCCGTGGCTCCTGCCTCTCTGCTGCTATTGGTGTCCTAGAGGGTAGAGTTACCAGAGGACCATTGGAAGAATCTGGAAATAAATGAGGCCTGAAGAGGGGAAAACATTCCCCTTTAGACTAGAGTGAGCTGTATCAGAAGCGTGTTGGGGACCTGCTTTTTCTGCTGATCCTTTTTGGAGGGATGAACAGTGCTCTGTAGCTTCAGTGGAGAAGGCTGCTTTCTCAGTCAGTTTGGCCCGTTTATTCTGAGCCAACAAATGTCTTTAGCTTCAGTTCTCTTCCATTTCTTGTGTGTGCCCCTGTGGACCCATGCAGAGGCCAGAAAAAAACATTGCTTCCTCTTTACCTATCCTCATTAGATGTACTCTGTCACTGAACCTTGAGCTTTGGTGGCTTTGGCTGGGCTAACTAGGTAGCACATTCTAGCAACTGGCACCCCCAACCCCAGAAAACAAACAGTCAAGCTCTGGGATACAGGCTACCCAGAGCCACACCCGGCTTTTACATGGGTGCTGG